CTTTTACAAAGCCACTACCAAGGGCGAAACTTGAACAGCACCGCAGCGCTATGGGTTTGATTTCGAAGGAGACCTTCGAGTCCACGGGTGGTCGGCACAGCGATGACAACCAGTAGGTGAGGCTGTTGTGATGTACTGGTCCTCACGGTTGGTGCCGAACCGACTAAAAAAGGTTTTGTTGAAGAGGGTGTGTCACTGAGACAGTTGGAAAAGGTGAGGAAAGTAGTGAGAAAACCATAATGATGGAAATTGAGCTAGACGAAGAAAGAGAGAGAAAATGCTAGAGCTCACTTCACAAAATACAAACAGCAGCACAAGCTGCCTTTCCCACCAACTTCGAGTGCTCTGTGTTTCTTGCTTCAAGTGCAGACGCTTACATACCAGTGCAGTTTGCAAGTTTTTCTATTTTTTGTAGATTGAAACTATAAGGCATTGCTTCATGTGCGACTGCAAAGACGTGCGTCAAAGTGGGTGGATCTGCGAACATGCCCTGTCAGCGCGGTGCCACTCGGTAAACGGAATACGCAAGGCGCCCTACGAGCCATACCCACTCATCGTTTACCAGGACGACAGCCATTGAGTCTTGGGGTCCTTGTACGGAATTCTAGCGACGAGCTCTTTTTTTAGTGCTAAAAACCTCATCAAAATGTGAACGAAAGCTCCGGGAAAAGCCTCCGCTGGTCGATCAAGCACGAGTTCGAAGTGGTTGATAACGGCAAGACGAAACGCGAGAGCCTCGTCGTAAAACGTTATTGCGTGGCAGGCGAATGGAGAAAGAAACTCTTGGCCAGTTCGTTTTTTAAATGGATAGTTCATTGTAATGCAGTGTGAGGAGCTGGCTACTGCATTGACACGTAGCTACACGCTCGGCTTGACATCACTATCGCACTGGAATAGACTAAACACTCAGCTCATACTCGTAAAAGAACCCCGGGAAACTACGTAATCTCATTTCTTGATTTAAACTCGTAAAACCTTCATTTTCTCTCTTTAGTCGCAAGTGAACCAGCTTTTACTTAAATCAACATTTTCCCCTAGCGTATTTTAATATCTTTGTGGACCACTTTTATTATCCTATGAGCCCGTCATTGGGAGTTTCAGAATGTTCTGCCGACGCGATGGACTATCGTCCAATTGCTATCCTGAATACAGCATATAAATTGCTCGGCAGAATCTTGGCTGAGCGATTACATGCACTACTACCCAAACTTATTAGCGATTCTCAACAAGGCTTTATACGAGG